GTCCGAACTCATCTCAGTGACCGTTTATACGTATCCGGTGACCACATCGCTCCGCGATCTTATTTCCAAACAATGTTTACAAGTAATTACCTATCTTGTTAGCGAATAAATAATATAAGTGTGGTAGTGGAACATTGTTACAATGTTATCATACATTCTTCAAAATCAAAACAAGTCTTTGCCTCCTTGTACATTCATTATTATTATTCTCATTATCAGAATTGGCGGCAGTGAAAGTAATGATAGCAGTAGTAACCATTCGTGAAATTTGATTTCTATTGGAATCATTGGAATTTTCGATGTGTTCGACCGAATGATATATAGATAATTGGAGAGAGTAAGTTTCGTTAGAGAGATACATACGATGTTTTGTACCCTTTTCTTCATAAAAACAATCTCAGAAAAACGCCGAAGAAATTCTTTATCACTGGTTTTAGTTAAAATTCAATAATTACCCGCTATCACAACGCCGAATCTCGTGACCCTGTCAACTGGTTGCAAAACAGCAGCCGAATCGTTTTTTTTTATTCATTCAATCAATGTCTGTGGCATTTTTCGTTGAAAACATTCATTTTCTAACAGATTTTTTTCGACTGATTTTGAGCTAAACACCTCAACAGAAACGAGTTAATTTCGAGTTTGTTTAAATGGCGAAAAAATGCTCTTGTGTTTAAAATAGATTCGTCCATCTACAACCTTAGCTATCGTCAATTCATTTCTTTCCATTTTGAGTATCTACCTGGCATCAAACTCTTACGATTTTATGCAATCTTCAAATTTTTTAAACTTTCAAATCTATTTTCGCTCAAATTTCATAGCACCTAACGTATTCTACCCAATAATCCCACAGTTCATCCTTTGCCTACTGCTTATAGCTCATTATCAGTGCGATTTCTTCAAAAATTTCCATTTCAATATTTCACCTCATTTCTTGCTCATCGCTTACTGTTCTTGTCTTTTTGTGTTGTTGAAATCAACATTCTTTCAACGGTATTTCGTCAAGTGGTGAGAGCTAAATTTGACTTAAACTTGATTGAGCAATTAGGGAAGCAACAACAACACTGTTGTTACAAGGGATCATATCATTACATTACACTTCATTCGCTTTGATTGATAATTTGAAAGTGAAATCAGTTAGTCGAAATAAAAAGTTCAGTGCATTCAATAGACTTGTTTCATATCCGGTATTTACCAATTACAAAGGTTGCCAACCGTTTAAGGTATGTTCAGTTACATCTCTATGTGGCAACCGAAATACCAAAGACAGCGTATGTAGATGCATCCCCTTTTTGCAGTGGATCTCATTTTTGGAACTGAACACTGACAGGTAGTACAACTGTCAACAAGAAAAATTTCTCTATCGTAAACGGCCGTCCATTACGTTAAACTTGATTTTTCACTTTGATTTGATTAACGAGGCTTAGTTCGGGAATAGATTTGCGGTATACAGTTTCTACTAGTACAATCTGTGGATCCTTATATGTCTCTTGATATTTGATGTGTGATTTGCAGGAATACTAAGCTAGAACAATGATATTAAAAAATATAGGGGAACAGCCTCGCGGAACGCTGCCTTAGAAACTGCACTAAAGCTAATTATTGCCTACAAAAGCGCAGATCATTTGAAATACTCGCGAACGAAAATTTATAATAAAAATTAAGTAGAATTATGGTCTCGACATCAGCAAAATAAGTCACTGTTTTGCTAGAGTGCATAGCTATGGACCTCAAGGGATAACAGAACATCTCCCCTCTCTCATCTGGTATTCAAGCCAATCCAGTGTCTCGTAGAAGGAAACTAGTAAATAACCACGTATAGTAATAGAGAGAACTTGTAAACGAACATTCAAACTAATGTAAAAGAAAGTGATAAATGAAAGTGAATGTAATTGAATGGCCCTTCACGAGAACAAAATTTAAAAAATGTGCCACCTTTCAACGTCAGAATAGGCAATAGGCAATAGCGATTTTTTGCGAAAAGATCAGACGCTAGTCCGGTTTTTATATGTCATCGTTGACAAGCCAATCATGCGCGTATTCCAACTGCTACAGATCAATGAACCCTGAGGTAGCAAATGAACTATGTACATGAACGTCTTAAAATGACAGTACATTGGTGCTACACAGTTTGTAATCATTTCATATAGACTATATTTTTACAACACTAATACATCTAGATACGTATAAAACCATTAGAGTGGAATAACGAATGGCGGATTATAGAAATTCAAATATACATAAATTGGATCAATTAACGAAAGACGCTACTGCTCTTAATAAGAATACATATACTGTTCGATATTCTTTGAGTAGATGCGATTCACTCAATCAAAATAACATGTATATGACACTTATTAAATGAAAATGTCCTTCAAAAAAACTCGTTCCCATCTAAAATTCAATTGATAATCTGAACCCAGGCATAATCACAGCACTATGCAATCAGCTACTGCAAATAGGATAACTAGATGTGATTTCTTTCCCTCATTACGGCGTAATCTACAATTTTCTTGAATTGATTTATGTCCATTTAAATTGATCGAAAACTGCGACAAAATAAGATAGCACAGTATTGGGAATGAAGAATCTCGATATTATCATTTTGTGTATTGTTCAGAAAGAGCAAAACATCCAGCAATAACCGCAACAACAACAGGTAATAAGTAAATCCTTCTGGAAACTAATCAACCACAATGAAACCGACAAGCGATTCAACTGCCTTATTGCCTTCATATGATGATACGTTGTTTGTGAGGAATCTCAACCTATTCTTCAGGTAAATTATTATCATTATTACCATTACATTGGTACTATTGATACGGTGTGTTTCATTCTGTTTCAAATATTTTCAATTTTAAGACCGAATGATTTCCAAATTTCCTGCACAAACCTTTCCGTGCTTCCATGCATCTCAATTCAAAAATAATCCAAACCCGGTACCATTCAAAATTTCTTGCTATAGTCTGGATTATCTGGATTGGCCAGACTATCAAACGTTTGTAACGTTGCTGGCCACAATGCTCGCGTTTCCGTGCACATTGTTTTAGCCTCAATTTACGCCACCCCGCTGGCTAGGCGAGCAGGTCAGCCGAACACAGCCGAGTAATTAATTAGTTGCCGTGAATACTTTGAATAATTAATCGTAGTCGAATATCAATCCAGTAAATAATTATAACTTTAATAGAATAAATATTGCGTTAATCGCTCACAGCGATTGACAAAACAACCACTCGATCTCCAAGTAACAATAACAATGTTATAGTACTTTTAACTATAACTACTTTTTGCTATAGCACTTAACCAAAATTAACGATTAGCTCTGCAGCTTCTTAACACCAACCCTCAGAACACAGCTCTTCGATCTGTTCCAGGCATCTCGGCAAATGGTTATCCGAACATCCATGGTTATTCCTGGCAGTAACAACTTCAATAACGATTCTGGCCGCCAGTTCAATTCCATTCACAAAAATGACCAACGATATCAGTGATTTTACGCCTTATGCTGCGCGAGCGCGTTCTGAGTCACAGGTACACATTTATACATATATCATAGTGTTGTGTGGGGAGTCCTCGTATTCGGGGTCCCCGTCCCCAACCATTTTCGGGGACTGTCTCCGACCCTGAAACGTCCCCGACTTTCTTCCTTCCCCGCACAACATTAATATATCATATCACCACCCAAACTACCAAATTTCCGCTGTGCAAATTCTTTTCAACCAGATTTTCTTCTCGTGGAGAATAAAGTTATTCTATATTGAATGTTACGATAATGTTTGTTTGATGTGGATGAATATATTAAACAGGAAAGAATCAAATGATATGATAGGACAAAAGATGAAGTCCAATTTAAACAGATATAGCAAGCGATCGTTTGAGACTATCTTCAAAAAGTAATTCTCATTGGTAAAATTGTGCAGTTATTTGAGAGATGTGACAGAATTTTTATACGCGAAAGTTATGCTAAATAGTATCGGTATGTTGATTTCATGTACGATACACATGAAGCATTATTAAGTGTACTCGTTGTTATTCTTTTTAGATCTATGAAGATTTCTTCAATAGTGATGGAGAGCCAATCATCATCATTGTTATGATTACTGATAAGCAAAATAGTAATATGCTCGGTATAAGACAACTCAACGAAACCGTACGGGTACGTTTTGTCTTCTCATCCAATCATAATCATTCTTCATCATCTGTAATCATAAAAACAATAAACTTCACATGATCTCCTCTCAACCACCACTCTATCACTGATTATAATACTTCACCTACTTTTATAGAGACTGAAGATTTTCGAAAATCATCTGACGCACTGCAATGAACTTATTATTGTTGGCTGAAATGAAATTATCAAATTATTTTCAAACTGACAGTGAGCATACTAGAACAATCAAGTTTACGTGCATTAATAAACGACAACAAAAACGGTAACAATGAGAATAATAACAAAGAAATGAAGCACTCCCGGAATATTTATCAACATTTGACTTAACAATATTAAGGCCGACAACGTTTTATTTACCACTTTAATCGCCTGCATGCGCTGATTTTGTCATATTCATTATGTCTTTACCACTGCATATCAATAATAATAAAAAAATTGCATAAAATCGTTCAGGTAATTCCTGTTTAAGACAAAAATATTATTCACTACAAACAGTGACGTAGCCAGGATTCTTCTCAGGGTGAGAGGAAGGGATGCGCAATATGATTTGCTCCAAAAAAAGATGAATTTCGGGATGGATATTCTTACGTTTATCTTTTCTTCCTTCCCCTCTCCTCCTTCTTTTTCCCACCGTCTTCTTCCTTCTTCCCTCTTTTTTATTTTCCTCCACCCTTCAGAGCGGGCTGGAAAGGGAGGAGGAGACGCTTCCTTCATACACCCACCCCCTTTGGTACGTCATTGGCTTGAAATAACTGAATAAAGTAATGTGACTCTTTCAAAATTTCAACTTAAATTTCGTATAATTAATTTTTCTTTCAACACTTCACAAAATATGTATATCTGTTTTTTCCAGCTTCTTGATGGTCTGACCAATGATGTCTATTTGTACAATTCATTTGATAATACTTCATCATCATTCGCACAATTCTGTACCAGTTTTTGTACTATCAACGAACCGTTACGTCAATTTTATGTACGTTTCCACGTTCACATTTTGTTGCATTTATTTTCTCACTCACTCTCATTAACAACTGGATTCTGCCAACTGTGAAATAAAACCAATCAGCGACTCACGAAAGTCTCTTATAGAAAGGCTCACTGGTGAACAGTTATTACAATGATACTGCGTCAACGATCAATCTCGGTTATCCATCAACAACTGTTCTCGGTCGAACCTTTCATATGGATACGATGTTTTTTGGTGTTCAGGTAATTTTTTCTATCAACGAGTTTCTTAATAACCCTTCATTACATTCTTCAAAATAAACGACTAATTCTATCAAGCATTCGGATAAAACTAACAATAAGCGAACGCATTCACTCAAACGTAACCAAGGCATCAAATAGATCACAAAATAGTATGCAAAGAACGAGTCTGAAAAAACATTATGTAATGGGGAAAAGGAACATGAACCCGAGTTGAACCAACAAAGGATTCATGAAATCAGCTGACGATATCATTGCTAAGAAACTGAAACGGATGTATGAACGGACCTAATCGAATTAAACCGAATTAATTTACTGAGCAGCCAGCTATAATAAGCTTAATATGATGCAATCAATAAAAGCAACTGACAAATATGTAATTTCCAGATTGAAATAACCGACGGAAACGGTAATATTAAGCGAACCTCAATTGATCAATTACGTACAATTAATGGATTATCGATACTTGACGACGAACAGGTATATATTGATATTCTTCCTGAATCTTTGACTACGATGATAAACACCGATTGATGGTACGATAGCCTCATATCAGTCAGTATTTATTTTTAGTATTGTTATCCATTCGCCTTCTCAAAAGCCACTTCAAAAACAATGCGATCGGTGATAGATATTGCCATCCTTGAACCCAACGAATAGATAATTCAAGCACAAAAAGAAATACTTTTGAAAATACGTCCCAAATTTGGAAAAACTGCCTTATGGTGCAGACAAGGGCATTTGAATGAGTACAATAACTAGTTGTTTTATCACCATTTTTATTACCTGATAACATTCTTGTTTCCACCGTGAATCATGTGCAACCCGAACAATTCACAATCTAGCCGTGATGATAGTATATCGTTAACATTTTTGTTATATCATGGAATCAACTGGACTGGTGACCTATTGGATAATCTGCAAATATAGTAAAATAAAATGTTCAATGAGAGCATAATGTCAATGAGAGCGTTATAAGAGCATCTTAGTTAATAAATAACTTCTGCATATACACAAAAACAAAATGAATTAATGTTTCAGATGCAAGTGCCCAATAATGTAAAGGATGTTCGTATGATAATTCTGCAACTTCGAGCGCAGAAACCGATCGGCGCAACAAAGCAAGACGTTGAAAACTATGAAATGCAAATTGTTAGATATCCAAAAATGTTAGTAAGAATTATAACAATGAAGACAATAATAATAATCACCTTATTTTCTTTCCTGATATTTGCACTCATTGATGTTGCGTTGATACAGTGAAATGAGAGCCGATCTACGTTTCACCTGAGCTTTTATTTGTACTTTCGGCTTACCTGTTTGTGATCCTTCGAGCCCACCACTTAACTGTCGGCATCCCGTAGTGGTAAACATACTTGGAATGAATCGTACAATAATCTCCAAACTGACCAAGCTGGCTTTCACAAGAAACCCGAACTACTCTCGGAGACAACCACTTTCCATCCATCACTAATAATTGCAGTGACAATAGCAAAATAACGTTGATCATCATTACTTATCGAATAAAATCTTCAGAAATTTCACCACAACTTCAACTGACGTCGTCATAATGTCTCCAACATTCTTGAAGTCAGAAGTTGTCCGTAATGGTCTTCGATTGTTACCATTCACATTTTCTGGATTCTTCATAATGTGCATATTTTCGTCAACAACAGCCACCATTAGTGCTTTGTATATGTCACAAATGAACTTCAATAAGGTAAATGAGTTTCGTATGTCAACTGTATTAATGGCATAAGATATAACTGTTGCAAAAGCACTACATAAGTAAGATTTACTGTGAGTTCTTTTTTTTTNTTTTTTTTTGAAGTGGAACAAAATGGACAGTTTCAAATGATATTGATTTTCAAGTACTTTCTTTCAGATCATACTGGCGATTGCAGCTTGTGTTTGCCCATTTATGGCGTGTGGAACTGCTCTGGGAACACTCTTTTGGGCTGGCGTAAGATTTGGTTCAATCCTGTGCGTGACACCTTTTCTGGTGCTTGCAATCGGCGTCGATGACGCCTTTCTCATGATACACTCATGGCAACGTAACAATCGTCGTCTCAAGTAAGCACCAGCAGCAGTACTTTGTTGCATACAATATCGATCACCTCTAAAGCTCTATCATACCATATATGAGCACAATTCTGGCACCGTGCACGAAAGCAACGAACGAAACTTTCAAAATTTTCTTTGATTGCATTAACGGAATGCAAATTTAAAATGTCTTCAATGAAACTCACCGATTCTTGCAGATTGTTTCCAGAATCTGATCAGCAAGGAAAACTTGTAATAACCGATGTTTCAAAACGGATGGGATCTATGCTCGAAGATATTGGTATATTACTAAAAAATACTGTCATTTCAATTATTATTTTGTCACAACTACTATTATCATTATCACCATCAGCATTACTGTCACTGTTTTTGACATTAACATCATGGTCCATTATATTATAATTGATGATTGTTATTATTATCGATGGAATTATAATGAGTTTTGCAAACTTATTCACACTTAACAGGTCCGTCCGTAACCATCACAACCATGACAAATGTTTTGGCATTCGCTATCGGAGCCCTTACACCGACTCCCGAGATAAGGTTATTTTGTATTGGTAATGCAGCTGCAATGTTAATCGATTTCATCTATCAGGTTTTAACTTTAAAATATTCAAAGCATTTATGGACCATTTCATAGAATCATTTTATTCATCCATAAACTGAAAACGAATCAGTCAGAAAGTCTGTAAGATATTAAGAATGCGGTTAAGATGGTTGTCAAAACAACGTTTTGGAACTCCACTCACACTCAGAAAGAGGCTTAAAATCTTGCTCACCTATTGCCCAGAAATGAGCCTGACCATACGTTGAACAAACACACATCCTTGGCCATAGCAGAATACAACACCATAGTGCAATCTGTTTTTCTTTCACAGCCGCGATTCCTCCAAAACCACACAGTGAACCCAAGAGGAGTTAGATGGTTTACATTGGTACGTATTGCGAACCTGAATCGCAGTACCGCGTATTCATTTATAACTCATAAAACACTTGATCAAAAATCAAATTTCTTGAAAACTGATTTTGAAAAATCGTTTCAGCTGACATTCTTTGGTTCGGTTTTGGCAGTAATAACACGTCGTGAACTTGAACACGAAAAAGAAGAATTGAAAGAAAAACCGGTCGAGAGGAAATTCTCGACATCATCATATTTTAGCAAATTTAGCTTATCTCGTGCAAATATGAAGAATTATATGAATAAATATTGTGCATTCATTTGCAACAAATTCGTTTCGTTGTTGATTTTGGGAACCCTTGTCATCTATTGGATCATTTCAATTTATGGTATATTGACGATGAAGGCTGAACTAAAACCTGGGCATTTGTTCAGTGATGATTCGGATATGATGAAGGTTTGTTTGCCGCTTTCTTTCATTGAATTTATTCAGCGGGTTGATGATCACATCAAAGAGATCACATCCAACCGCCGAATTTCTCAAACTTTGTTGCTGTTTTTCGATCACCAATAAGACAGATCCAACTGATTTTTTTGCGAGTGCATCATCAGAATTATCGATCGTTAACTGATATGATGTGACATTCAATTGTGAGAGCATCCTCCGATTCCGAAGGTGATAAACGAATAAAATCAACTCAATTGCAGATCATCGATCATCGTAAGAAGTATATTACACCGTACTATACGTTGTGCTATGTTTTCGTGAACAATCCTGGTAACATTAATGATCCAAGTAATTTGAAACGGCTACACAATTTGGTTAGTTAATTTATGCTGTGCTTATCTATAATAATAATATTAATCGTAACGGTCATAATAACGTTAACGGTAATAATAATAATAATAATAATAATAATAATAGTAATAATAGTAATGATAATAATAATCATAGTAATAATAACAATAACAATAATAAAAGAATAATAACAATAATGAAAGAGTAATAATAATAACGATAATGATAGCAATACTATCAGCAATTACCAATTACATTGTTACTGTTATTGATATGGTATGAACGGAATTTAACTTAGGCCGAAGATTTCGAGAGACTTCCGAGATCTGTGGGACGATTTTCGACAAAGTTTTGGTTACGAGACTATGAGCAGTTCGTTGAGTTTGATGATGTTGAGTCAGATGTTCAAGAAGAGGCACTTTCTAGTATGAACAGCACCTCTGCAACCGCCAACATGTAAGAACTTATAACGAACGCTTGCTTTAACAACATGCTTTATCACTTTATTCGATTCGTTCAAATTAAACAGCTAGCAGTCAATATCACTCATATGATCGATGTTGCTGTATGTGTCATGACTAGCGTTCGTCGGAGAGCGGTTTTGCGCACGGGGGAGGTCCCCGCGGAGAGAAAAGTGGGCGGGAGGAGGTCCCTGCAAAAAAGTCGGGGAGTAAATCACGCGGGGGGACCCCGTTGGGAGATAACCGCTCCCCGTGTTCCCCGACGGGGAGGATGGGGAGCATCTCAACTCAGTTTTTTAATAGAATTTCAATTTTTTAAACATTTTTCTTCCTCTTTAAGGAGTTTTTTTTTGAAAATTCGTTCCAGCTTTTTAAATAGAATTTTTCCTCCCGATGTGCCCCTTTGGGATTAAAATGAAGTCGTCTATCAATGATAATGCGCTCACGACTACAGCTTTAAATAACATGTTACTACCACTCAAAAATCTCACGATAACTTGGTTTTATTTTACTAACATCTCTATTTTATCAGTTTTATCTTATCTTATTATCTCCAATATCGTACCACTTTTACAGTGACTCACGCCCTCAATAATCCAATACCTCAACAATAATTATCGGAAACATCGTCAGTTTAGAACGAAGTGAGAATTTTTGAACTGTTGGATAAATAGACGGATTTAGTGATTGTAATGATTTTTTGGATAATAGATTCCCACTTCTGATATCGAAATAACTCAAAATCAGTCGGTCAATAACTCACTTGATATGAATGCAAAATCATGGATTTTCAAATGAATGACAGATTGGGAACTTAAGGTTGGAAACATGGTTGGAAATATTGTTCATAACAAGTTTCTCCATCTCTACGATTATATCGTTTAAAAATGTCATTTGCCATCGTTTATTTCCCCTCAGCAATATTTGATTCTTTTTTAAATGACAGTTGAGCCAAAATTCCCGTATTGGGCATTATAAATTCAGTTACTTCAAGAATTTAAACAACAGATCGCTCTAATCGAAGAGAAAGCGAAAAAGTCGGGGAACAAATTGCGCGGAGGGGAGCTCTCCCCATGTTCCCTGGCGGGGACCCCGTTCGCCGACGAACACTAGTCACCATTCATGCTTACTATTAAAATGGTATGATTTTTAAATGCAATATTGCAGAACATTAACCGCAAGCAAGGATGTTAGAGCAGCAAGAACAAACGAGTTGACAAAATTTTTGGAATGGCCTGAATTCAGATACTGGAAGGGTTTCATGCATTATCATATCAATGCAAGGTAGTGCTTGTCAATCAACTCATCACTCTATCTAATGAGTAACGTCAAGTCTAAAACAAGCTTCTCAATTTCTGTCACTTCTCATCATTGTAATATTTCTACACGCATATTTATACTCTTTGCAGAGGTGAAGCAATCGTTGACAAATTCTTCTTTACAACAGCCGCCCATGGAAGAGAGTTAAACGAATGGTCAAAACGAACAACACTTATGCAACAATGGCGATCGATTGTTGATCGGGTTATTATTATGGCATTAGTATTAGGATTGCTATCAATAAGAATCATTAAAATAACACTAAATCAACTTTCATCAAATGATTGCAACACAATTACCAAATATTGTCTCATGAAATATTTCCCTTCAAAAAATAACGCTTAAGTATTTCGTATTTTAAGTACGCTGATCTAGCGGTGAGTGTGTACGATGATGATGCAAAATTCTTGGATCTAATTGGTACGATGGCATCTCAGACCATACAGTCCTCCATTTATACACTCATTTGTATGATACTTGTTTGTTTACTATTCATTAAACGTATTAGTGCAGTCGTTACGGCTACATTATCAATTACGAGTACTTGTATAGGTTTGTCCTATTCCTCTCTGATCGTTATATCATTTCAGTATTTCTTTATCATTGCTACTACTACTACTACTATTATTATTATTATTCATTACGACTATAACATTATTATTTATTACTATTATTATTATTATTATTATTATTATTATTACTATTACAATTATTTTAGATATTGTCATTTTAATGATTTATCATCGATAATATCAATTAGTGGATATGAGGACGCACTAAATGGATGAACTTTCAGGGGTACTTGGTCTTTTATCTTTATGGGGCGTTGACTTAGACCCAATTGTTATGTCAGCAGTAATAATGTCAATAGGCTTCAGCGTCGATATACCAGCTCATGTTACCTACCACTTCTACAGAACAAGTACGTCTGAAAGCATTAGAAACTATCCTTATTATAATTATGCGATTGCAATGAATAATCATTTAAAGGTGGTGTAACGGTGGTGTCTCGTCTGCAACACTGCCTAGCCGATATAACATTTCCGATATTGCAAGCTGCCGCATCAACGTTGATTTGCCTTTTGACACTTTTATTTGTACCTATTCACATGTCAATCGTTAGTGAATCTTCTTTCCTTCAAAATATTTTTTTTGCCATCAGTAAAATAATACCAAAAAAGTATCAAGCTTAAACAACAACAACCTATCTTATCTCCTCTGACCAGAGCTCAGTGGTATACGTTAGAACCACCTGATCCAAATAACTCATTAATAATAATAATTGAAAAATACGCAAATTTTAAATTCCAGGTGTTCGTTAAAACAATGGTGTTAGTTGTTACAATTGGACTTATTCATGGTCTCATAGTTATACCTGTATTTTTTAATGTTGTCTCATGGTTCACTTCACTGTTACGGCTAGCTGTAACATTTAATAATGGTGATAATATCTCATTCAACAACAATAACGTCTCCGCATCATCCTCTCGTAAAACAGCAATAACGCAAGCGTCAATCTGTTCAGCAAAATCGAATCGTGAACAAAACTTGAATGTCTTTTCAAATGTATCTAAGAATTAAATTATGCCAATGTGTATTTAATTGTATTATTGTTTTAATATTCCTGCTTTGTAATGAAAGTGAATGAATGAATGAATTATTATCGTCTTCGTTGGTACAACTAAAACTCAAACTTGGACTAATCTCACATCCAAAACATCAACTATAGGATCACCAACATTACCTATAGGATTTGCTATGGCGAATAAATTTTACTGATGTATTTATGTTGAATTTTGTACTTGTGATATGCGTATATACGCAGTCAGCGTATTTGCTACATTCATTCAGCAAATACCTTCGCATAATCGTGTATATGTAAATGAGGTGGCCTAAACAATCAAAAGCTGATATTTACCCTTGAGAGCCGAAATTCTTTTCTTACCGACGGAATGAAGAAGATTCACGGTATAAGGCGGTGGTCCGCATGCTCGGGGGCTCCATTACCCCCTTCGATGGTCTGGCAGCCCACCATTACCCCCATTCCACTACAATCGTTTACTATTTCCACGCATAAGGCCAGAACTAATTTCCTGACCCCTCCATTACTCCCTAATACCCCCAAATTATCCAAAAATTTTTCCCTACCGGGACCGCTGTTTTAAGGCATTGAATAGAAGGACAGTTCGCTGAACGTTATACTCCATATGTGCTTAGCTACACATTTGTTACATGCATTCAGTTAACATCGTGTATGTGTTAATAAAGCGGCTCAGAGTCTTCGATTTTAAGAGTGTGACCCTGTGTCGGTGACAACCAACCAAAACCGAAAGCAACTAATCGCTCGATGCTCCATGAAAACAATTTCGGTGGCCACCAACAGACGCTCGGAATTTACCTTACCGACAGCCATCCATAGGATGTTCTGTTGGTGAGCAGCAAAAAAAATCTGCCGACTCCCAACTCTAACAAACAAATATACGAAAGTAAGCATCGGCGAAATACTCAATTCATGATTATTTCTCGTGATTGCCTGAGATCACTCGGGTCGTTTTTTATTTCGTTAATTTTCACATTGATCGTTTCTCGCCTGGATAAATTTTCCTTAACGCATTCCCCCCCCCCCCCACCCATATTCACATGAAACGATTGATCGAATACAAATATTTTTTAGATAGATGAGGTAGATACAAATTAGGAATATGATTATTCGCATCTATCAACTCGTATGAAAACGCGGGGAAAAATTGTAGAAATACACTTTTCGGTTCTTTTTTTTTCAACCGATCACATATGATGAAGATACCATACCCTATCACAGCCATCGGCAAGTAGGTTTGGTCGCGGGCCGAAATTTTCCCGAGAGAAAATCTGTGTCAGCGACACAGTTAGTCGTCTGTGTCGGAAATTTTCAGTGCTGTAGCTAAATAATTTAAAACCTTTTTTCTTTTCTTCTTTACCCCTTTAAAATCAAATTCTCAAATTCATCTGGCGGGCCAAAAATGATTGTCGGCGGGCCAATTTTGGCCCACGGGCCGGGGGTTGCCGATGCCTGCCCTATCACATTATATCATATCATGTCATCTATCACATCATATTGAAAAATAACAGCAACAATTATCGTTTCATTCTTTAAGAATTTACCTTCAGTAATCTACTTGAAGTCTAATATTTTTAAAAACACGAAAAATTTATTTGTAAAAGCACTTTGAACAAGAACAAATAAGGAATGGAATATTTTTTGCTTAACAGTAACAACCTTGATCATGATGAGTATAGTAATCATTATTGTTATCAATCAATCAATTAGTAATGCTAATATCAACAATGTCATTATTTGTTGGTGTTAATTAATGATACGGTAACGATAACGTTGGTGTGCTCATCAAACACATACGTAGTTTCATTTTTGGTCAGTAAAGCTTTTGAAACATTAGTATAAAAACGAAACAGACAAAGAAGGCGATATGAGAATAAAAACTCGTGAAAGATATGAAGAAAATTAAGCGAATGACTGTTTGTCGGGAATCACGAAACTGAAAATTTGAATAGTTGAAAAAGAAAACGAGAAGACAGCGATCATCATACACATTATATAACAAATGGACAACAACAGCAAATAATTCGAGTGTAAAATGATACGAAATAAAAGTGAATTAAACCACGAAAACAACTAAGTAAAGAGGACGCATTCGACATCATCTGAAAATATCGTCTTACCAAACAAAAACTGCATAATTTGTGATCAGAATAAGATTAATGATCACAACTATCATTAATTATAAAACACTCGTATATTTTAGCAGAAAGAGAACACCGTCGGAAGAATGACGAACGGGATATATTGTATAATACATGGAGAAATGAAGCTTTTGACCGCACAAGATCAAAACGCTACGATACAGTAGTATTATAGCGATGGGAGTATGACAGAAATAATAATAACAAAAAGAAATGATGATAACAACAACCAAAGGCACATGAAGAATGTTCATTCTGAATGTTTATTGTTTTCGGTTCGAAGTTAGTCAGCAACTAAGTCATAAAAGCCGCATAGAGTACGCTCATTAATTCAGAAGACGAACGGATCAATTCGCTAGGAAATGCTTAATTCATCAACTCGTCAGTGAATCAATCTCAAATAATTAAACCGCTCAATTCAAAGCGACAAAAGTTCAGTAAACAAAACGCTTCTTTTTTGATGTGTGCACAATGAACTTGATTAAAGTTTCAAGCGAATTTTTCCCTGCAAACATCCAAAACCACTTTCGGCGAACAAAATGCAAGACATTCGAAACTATCGCCCAAATTACACAACTTGCAGATGATGAATAAGGAGGAATAATTCAAATGAACGTTCGATTGTCAATCAAATGAGTGAAATAGAAACAGTTTTTTTGGCAGCAACAACAAATTTTCTATAACGCAATTGATTGCCGTTCTCGATGCGCTTGCGCAACAGCAATTTGAAGGCATTGGAACCACTCTTCCGCTTTGCTCTGATCTTTTGCCTGAATCAGTTCATTCAGAGACTAACTTCAAAGCAATCACCAGTTCATAAATAATCTAAACGTCGCCCATATGAAATTATTCGATTCATTCGAGAGGAACAATTTGTTTTTTTTTTGTCACATTATTCTTTCATATCTGTGATAAATAATATTCAGCATTTGGTTGAATTCCACAGCAAATAATTGATTGTTATACAACAGTACAACGAGCAGCAATGTTCGTTAGTATGCTCTCGAGTATTTTTAACTCACCTTTAGCACGTATGAAATATCGTCATCGGTGAAAATTTCGAACGCTTTCGGTAGGGATTTACGGTTTTTTCGTCCTTTACTCAACGATTTCACTGAGCGAATTTTTCGTAGATCAATCGACGGACAAATTATTTTATCAGTCGATGGCTGAAACTAGCACAATTTTAAAATAAATTAGTATAATTGTACTAAAAGTAAAGCAGTTAACAACAAAGACAACAACGAACTAGAGGAACAGCGACAATATTAACAACTCACATCAATTGAATGATCTCGACAGGTGAGTGCCGCACTTGATAGTGTGAAATATTTGGTATGCCATCGTTTCAGGAATTTCCAACGACCACGTTTCTCCTTTAACTGACCTTCAAGAACCGGTAAATGCGGCGAATCAGAACGTAATATTGATCTGAATTGCAAGTGAATATTTTATATGATATTTTACATATTTTATGTAGATAAGTCGAAAATTATTCGGACTTTCGACATAAAACAGCTTCAATCTTACGCACTTGCATACTCATAACTCATATCTTTGCGCACGCTTACTGAAAGATTGACTTTTTTTTACATTCCGCAAATTGTTCCACAAATAAAGCGCCATAATTTGAAGGTATTTTATGGCGGATGTATAGACACCTTCGATCTACTTGAACATGAATCTTATTACCATAATTACAGAACAATCAATTAACATTTAACAACAACAACGACGCATAACTCATTGATAACTAATCATCATTGAAGCTTTCACTGAATCAATCAACCCATAAAAGAATTAATCAAGCAATTTAAAAATATTACATAAATTCTACTCAATAATGTTGAAGTTAACAATTACAGATAATCTTTTTAATAAAATCACTCGTAAGCATCCTCAACACTGGAACACTCAACGATTAATGCAACGTACTTGCTGTTGACTAGAAATGCGTAACATCGTCCATGTCTTATTTCAAATATCCGACTCATTCATCTTTATGGAAGTTATGAAGGAACGTTCGTTTCTATAACTTACCGAACTCTTTCCGGGTGACTGCAACTGAAACAACTCCATTTTTGACTGACTGTGCTAAAAGAGAATGAGTCGAAGTAATGCGCTTCTTGAAGTTCTTTATAGATTTGTTGTTGTTCCTAAAAGTTTTGTTCGTTATTCAATGTCAAATAAATCATTCAAACTGCAGTAGCAGCATTAGCAGCAGTTCGATAAACTATTGAGCACCAACGTCGAATAAATGAATATCGATCGGGTTCAACAGAAGAAAGTTCAATGAAATTTAAGATTCAAATCGATGGAACATTTTTAACTAAAGGTAAATTAATCGAATGAGCTTTAGAAGATGCAGTGAGTAAAAAGCTGAATATAGTGAAAGGGATAATAGTTTACGATGTCGAACACTGAAATTATGAACCTTTAAAGCAGGGAATGCTGAAGTTACAAGTGTAACGAATGGTCGATTTCGTGTCAGTGTTGTTGGTAAACAGGACCAGCAATGAGAAAGCGTTTGAAATGCTTCTGATGATTGCGCTACAACTTCACCTGTCGATTCCAGACTTGATGCCTCCAACTGAACAGGTTCAATCAGTTTTTTGTCAGAAGATCAATTAAGATATAGTTCAAGCATGAATTATTGATCAATTAAATGGAGAAAACAAACAACTGCCACCTACTTGAAGAAACATCAGATGAAGCCATATTGGCGCTACCCGTGTTTTAAAAACGAACAGATTGTCAGCGTTAAAAGCGCAATGCGCATCACGCACCTGACAGCGAAAATGCACTCGCATGCGATGTCGTGAACCTGAAATCAACTTTTTGACAAATTCTCTTAACATCCCAGTTTTGCTACAATCCTCATTGTCTGCATTAATAAGCCACTAACAATTTAAGATAATACCACCATTGTGTAATACATGAATCTATAAGGCAACATATCGCTTGGCTTACACTTAACTTTAGCACTCTCAACCGTACATTGAACCGGAATGGGATAAGTTTTTGTGAGATTCGTTACATAATTTCGTATTTTGCTGCGTCGATGATCCACAAACTGACGAACTACATCACCGCGATCGATTGTACCCTTTAAAGTTCATCTGCTTGGTCATTCCATTTGTTATTATTATTACTATTAATTAATTAATATTCATTATCTATTATCATTGTTATTCATTATTATTTGTTATCATTATTGTCACTATTATTGTTATCATTATTATTGTTATTACTATCGCTATTATTATTGTTATTATTATTGTTATTATCTATATTATATTATTATCATTATCATAAGCCAAACAAACCAACCAACCGTCCACTGGGAATCTGCACCGAGCGTATCAGTCGAATGTGCTGCTCCTTGGGGAGGCGAGTGTTCAATAGATGATGGTTGCAACTGGTCATCATCAATATCCTCTTCTTCAATCACATGCACCGTACTACCGGAACCTGAGGCTAGTTTTGTGGTTATCGGGCCAGAATTGGCTGGAAATGTAGTCTCGTATGCGAGTGGTGCTGACAGATTGGTAGCGTTCGATGAGGATGGTAACAGCCATAAAGGCGCATTTCTTCTTGTTTGCATTGCCAACGGACGTACACGACCGTCTCGTCCGATCTGAACACATTCACTTCTTCAATTCATCTCATCTAACAATAAATGCTCGTCGCCGGCTATTCAGATCAAAATTGATCTTGACTGAGAGTGTAGCTGTGAAATTCTTTACTGTACAACTCAGAAATCATAAATGTAAAATGAATTGTCGCAACAACAACAACATCATCTTGTTCGAATCAGTCCATGATCGATCGACTTATGCACCTACCTATCGATCAACTTGTTTCATTGAAATGATGCTATGAGAGATTAGACAAGATTCATTTGTACTTGAAATCATTCACTCGCATCGAAAGATGTTTGCAAAAAATGAAGTTGCTGGCTGACAGCTGATGTTTTGAAGTTTAAGGAAGATGGATAGATGAGAGAAGAAACAAACTTGCACAGCAGTTGGTAGTAAGGAAGGGGATGTTTGTGGTAGGGTATTGCCTTTACGAGAATTATACGACGGTGGTGGGCAAATTGGAACGAATAGTGATGAGTCGATGAGACGACGATTTTGATTGACGACGACACCACTTGAAGCAGCAGCAGCACTTGCTGCAGATGATGATAGAATTAAGGGCGAATCGCGCGAAGCTGTTGCCGCCGCAGTCTCTATAACTGTCACATTTTCACCGCTGAAAACGCGATAAAAATAATCATTCAAACAAAATTCACTATTAATCGTTTATTGTTTCCTTTTTTTCCTCGTTTATGGTTATCATCACCGCCATGAATTTTCCAAAATTTTTTTGTTTGTTCAAAAAATTTCTCACACCGTGAACAGAATTCGCCATCGCCACCATCATCAACGACAACAAAAAAGTGGTCGATCAACAAGCAGAGAATTCAGTCTTGTTTCAAAAGGTTGACTGTACGCAACAAAGTATTGCTCACCCATAAGGATTAAGACTTGCATACGAGCGACTTTTTTGATTGGTCAATGAGCAGGATGATCGCATTCGACTCGACATATACGCGTTTGCTAATGTCTCGGTGTTTCTGTCCAGTTCATGAGCCGAATGCTCTGCACCTGAATCGCTTATATTTACTGTTGTTCGTATACCACTGAAACAAAAACATCAAATCATCATCCATAACAAATAATGTAAGCTTGCAGATCGTTTCCAGAATTTTCGTTTTCGTTTGGATTGGTTTTGACTCGAACATACCGTTATGATAACGATACTCAACAGATAATGAATGTTGATGAATATAGAAATAATATTAATGAATACGATTATAAATATGAGGATACAATAGTTACCTTGAGATGATAGGTGCATGGTCGAATCGAGGTGATGACATTTTTGAGGCTACAGATTCTTGTGATTGTGCACTACCATTCATGACGTTGATCACTGTTATTTCTTCATTTGACGACGGATTCAAAAGACCGTTACGAATTCGAATATCATCACTAAAATTTTTTAAAAGATTTCATTCACTCGTTCACCGACATGACTATTTCTATTTCACCGGCAGTAGAGGAATTTTTTAATGATTCAACTTCAACTTATTATTACAATTATTACTATACATTATTATTTCTATAATATCATTATCAGTACTATGGATAAAGAAATTGTCTGACCTGCACAATCCCCTAATTCGAGCACAAACAGCAGAAGTAGTTGGTCGTGCATCTGGCAGGGACTGAATAAAAGGAAGATGTGATTGCACTGCGGATGGATAGCATTCTGCCACACCTATACCACCAAACAGATAAAACTGAATTATGAATTCGATCGAAATGATATCGCGGTGCATTTCATCTGTCCACCAAGCTATGTGCTCACTTTAATCGACAACGTATTTTGAGTGATCGCTTTTCATAAACGATTGCACAGATTTCAAGTCTATATATGACATTCACATTGTGCATGGGGATCACCGCCGAGTAATCGCACGGCAATCACATTTATTTGTGCTGTTCATTCGGTATGGTCGTATTCATTCCTGCCCATTCACTTTAGACAAACTTCGAATAATTATATTATCACTGAGCGCGGAAGTGACATAGTGACTATTCAAAAAAATTATTTCATGATGATAAGAATTGATAACAATAATCATGATATGAACAAAACCATACTTTCAATTTCTTTGAGTATAATCGGTAACGATTCAGAAAGTCGTTTACTCATAGCGATGAGATCATTCACAGCAATATATGCCGTATCCAGATCCGTCCGGCCAATATTACCCACAACTTTGGCCATCATCGAAAGGCTATTATCGCATTCCGTACCTCTGTATCAAGTTAATTCGATCAACCAGTCAAAACTGATAATAACGGGATTTTTTTTTTGATAATGGTGACGTTGATGACGACCATATCAATAATGGATGGAAAATGTAAGTGAAGGAGCGTGAAAAAACAATATGTCAGTCCAGTATCCTCAACGAAAACATAAAACAACACAAGAGTGGGTGAAAAAAATAGCTGATAATTTCAAATGAAGTGAGATATTATGTATCTGCACCTGGCCGCACTACGAAGTGCTGATAAACGTGGCACAAGCACACCAGTGCGATTCAGTGAAACAAGCGATAAAAAGATATGCAGTACTGCGGCACGAGTGGACGGGAAATGTAAAAATGGATCGAGTTCATCCAAATAACCAACGATTAACTGAAAGAAATCAAAATGAAGTCAGAATGAAAATCGCAAACAATGATCAAACAAACAAGACGCTTTGTTAATCGATCGATTTCACAATACTCATCTTACTGGTTTTCATTTCAAATCACAGTGACATAGCAGCAAATGATACACTGATGAACATCACTATATGGAAGCTATCAGTTCGTTGTTGTTAGCTGTGAAACGATTCAGACGCTTTGCAAATTGATTTGATGGAATCCCGAAAGGTCAGCAACAAGAAATGTTTATTAAATCGAAAACTTAGAAGATTTTCCTCAAAAATCATCGTCCAACACACCCTAATCTTAAAACATAGCTGTTGAAGCTTCAACCAGCTCCTCGCCAATATCCGTGAAAACGATAACAATAAAATAAGGGCCAGTCAATAGCTAATGAACAAACACATACGTCTGGTTTCGCATTAACGACCATCGATGCAAACTGTAGAATTGACAAACGTTCTGATGGGTCAGTACCCGTGTGCTGCAAAAGTTTTAAGAGTTGTGGAAGATGCGCATGAAAGGGTTCACGATTTTCTGGATATATCTGCGGTACAACACGTACCAATGGGAAGTTGCCTGAAAACGAATCAATCGACTAACTGATGAAAAATCAACGAAACCAATTCGATAGATAATATCACATATTCATTACCATTTAAAATGTTGATAATAATTTGTATGGAATATTGTGCTAATAAGCGTGCGTTATGGATGGCTGCAAGTGATAAATAGCTTGTCGTATTACGCGTTAACTCGTCACTTCCGCTACTCAACGCTCGTATTGCAGTTGGTACACTAACTGTCATCACAGATTTCTTACTGTAATGCTAAACAAAATATTTGATAGATACGTGTGAATGGTTGATAAAGCACACAAATTCGATCACTTTCTTTCCAGATTCTGTTTCACGTTCCTTTTATAGTGTTCCAATGGTAAATTCAAATCGATCAAAATTCGGTCAACTTTCCAGCTTTAGCAATTTTTTGGTGATTACTGAAGTTCAAAATTGCAAAAGTTGATTCTGAGTAACTGATCAGTTGGTTCGAAGAATATCACTCCCAAGAGTTGGCTTTTGCAATCTTGAGGAAAACTCGGTCACCGTCCTGATAACAAAAGCAATAACTGATACGATAATGAATAAAATTGAAAAAACTTACAAGAAAAAGACTACTAAGGAGATCAGAGGCAATTTTACAATGTGGTGTATCCTGCTGCATACCTGATGATCCTAATATTGTCATATTATGACTGAGACAACTCTCCAACGTATCCACCAACGCGGGTGCATACGTTTCAATACTGCTCGTTTCGCTAAACTTGATCAACAACTCAATGCAACTTCATTATTCGTTCAGTATCTACAGATTTTCGGGAACTCCGTCCTCGAACTCCCGTCCCGATTTTGCTTAAGCTAACCGCATTTTCGGTGTTCGCGACTGCGAAATTTCGTTCCTGATTTTCTCCATTTCCGACTTTTTTCCGTCCCCACGACATAATGATGTATCATCGTTTTTCACTAATATCATTTCAAAATCCAATCTCATATCACAAACGTTCACTCAGACAGCCGCATCACCACTTTCGTGGGCCTCTCAAACAAATACCTTAGGAAGTAATTGAACAACCCAGTAAGAAATCCATTCTGTTGATCTTCCGCTTCAATTACAAAATTCAGTGAAGTTGATTTACTTTCGGCAAAACTTAAGTGATACAGACGAACGATCTAAACATGTACCGTATCGCAGCCGTAATTCTTGCTAATACAATTTCCACCACACTTTGATCATTTTTATTTTGCATATATCCAGAATCATTGAAGATTGTCTTGATTTTTGCTAACGTTCGATGCTAAAAATAAACATGAACATTTGCAAAATACATCTCATATCGTGAAGATGCAGAACTTAATTACCTATGAATATCTATATTTGACCAGCTTATCAATGAATTAATATTACATAAATCTATTGAATTAACAACTCTTCCGTGGTTCTCATGCTCTCTTCCTTTACGCATCCCTCTGACTATACGGATAACATTCTCCTCTCCAACAACCTACTACTTCTAAGCGATATAATGAAACAAAATCAAGAAACTAATTCAAATAAGTAATTGTCAAGAAATTTGCTAATAAGTAATTGTCCGTGGAATAAAGCAATGGCATCATATCCTTCTAACCAAACAATTATTTCGAAGAAAAATCATAGAACAACTGTGCAAGAAACACGACGAAAAAATCAATCAACATAAGTTTGCCATCCTGGTCGATGCTGTAGTCTTTCGCTGTTATTAATCTCAAATTTCATCCTATAAGAACCAGCGAACTAGACTATTTGATAGCAATAACATACCAGATCAGTGATAACATCATAATCAGATATTGTAAAAAGTTGTCCAGCATGCGAAAGTTGTCGATGATCCAGAACATGCACCAGGAGTGTGTGCATAGTGATATTTGAAACGATATGGTCAATTGTTCGATCGTTGATCCGTAATAATTAATGATGTATTTGCAAATGCACCGCAACACACCTCAGCTATCTCTTCACCTGTTATATCAGAACATATTAATAATAACAAACAGTTATAAATGAATCAAAAAGAAATTCAATTCTCAGCAAACACATACGGCATTTATTCATTCAGTCGTGCTTTTTCGGTTTACTAATATGTGACATTCGGATAAAGTCGCATGCGCAAAATCAGCAGCCTAATAGAAACTAATGATTAACCGAACGAATAATTGGTTCCGTCAAAACTATTTGGTTACTGAAATCCATTTTCACATTTTCGAAATCAGCAATTATCAAAAAATCGGAAGGTGTTAAAAGTGAAAATTCGGTCGATTACCATCACAAATACACAAAAGTCATATGACGATGCAGTTAAAGAGTATCAACTGAAATTGAAGATGAGATATCGTATCGTTAATGATGAGTATTTTTGTCGAGACCGTGTGATTAAACAATGCAACACTCAAACAATAAGTTTGCTATCGAACTCCATTCGTCAACCAATAACGAATTATTGTATCTGTTAATGGCCTAAGCGATCCTTACAAAAGCTGATAAACTTTTTCGCAAAGCTCAGTAGAATCGTCGAATCGAAATTCGTTGATTTTTTCGGAATATTTGCTGATTTTTTTGAAAAAAAAGAATGAATGAATAAAAGATTGAATCAAACACAGCAACCATATCAATAATAGCAATATGCATCAATTTACCGAATAACCCAGCACTCACTGAATAGTTCCTATAAACTGGTTTATTATATTTCATTGTGATATGGGTAGATAGTAGAGGTTTTAGTTAATATTCAATTGAAAAGTTACATTTGTGCTTATGAGTTGACTTCTTTTCCTTTCATTTCGTTCAATCACTGATACTATCATTATCATCATTACGGCAATTACTATTATTATTAAAATTATTATCGTTATCGTCAAAATATTTGCTAATTGTATATTAATAAAGTTGTGCACATGAATGAATGAATAGATAAATAGACGACTGAATATCTTATAAAGCAACTGCAAAACTGCTCAAAATCGAAAAGGATACATATTCTGTTACGATGCATTCTCCCATTTAATGCATTCTCCTATGACCTCATCTGATTGCTCCATCCGCATTCATCAAAAATTTGCAATTAAAAGTGACTCATGTCTTATAAGTGCCTAAAATCGAGACGTACAGAAAGCATTCAGCTCCAATCAAAATGATTCCAACTCAAGTTGTTAAATCTCGTTTAGATAGATGGAGATAAAGCTTACAAGCAAGAACAGTGTTGAATAAAATTCACATCGTCATTCAAAATTTGCAGTAAAAGAACATTATATTGTAAATGTATGGTAAACAGAAACGAATCGAACATAGATTCATTTGCTTGATGGAATAGCAATAATGACAACACCGCGTTCTTTCTGTAACACAAAAAGAATTTGGTAAAGATGAATGAAATGAGCATCACCACCGCCAGCACCAGCAACAGCAATAGCATCATCATCAACACCACTTTTAGCTAGCAAAACATGAATATGACGAAGGCTGCTTCCATTCAACTGGATGATTCAGATATTTTTCATTGTTTTCTTATACATCTATCAGCTATCTGCTTTCTGCATACGCATGTATTTGTTTGTTTATTTGTTGATATAGGATATTATCATACATGTATAAATATTGTATAATCCACCATGCATGAATCGCGTAAGAAATCAATACAAAATTTTAGCACAAATAAGAAATGACAATAAAACAAAGCAAATACATAGACAAAAACCTACAAACACATTATATTAAACACAACAAATAAAATTCACCTAAGAAATTTGCATTAAATTATGACAGCTGTGAACGATTTGTATGTTAATATCACTTATTTATGCACATACACATTCGTGAATTGCAGTTTTAGATAGAAAAGGATCGTGCAATTTTAATCATGTACACCACTGGATCAGGTGGATTCTCCGTTCAGAAACATGAGACGAGAGTAAATAAGGTGGTGCGAGCATCATAATATGGTTACTCATCAATGTGCTCAATGTTTCGATATGATAGGCCGTCTGCAACAGAGTAATTATTTGGCATAACCCTTAACTACGGTGCACAAAGCATTCCGTAAAATATTCAGAACTTCCTAATTTTAATTTTTCTACGCGTACAAACGCCTCGGTCAATCAATCATTTACCATCATGTAGCACAAAACTATCATCGCTAATACAGTAATCAAAAAACAGGAAATGATTCTGATTGGGTAAAAGGAATGAACAATCAACAATTTTATCACCGCTCGATACTAAGCCGATCAATGAGAAAAAAACGCATACATACATACACAACACATACTACGAACTCATTTAAAATATTTTTCGTGGTATAGATAATTATAAATAATCGAACAACAATCGTAAAATTTGATCTGAATCTTGATTGGATGGATGAATGAAGAAACGGAAGGACGGATGCTTAAAGTATGAGAGAGCAAAAGAGCGAACCATCACACAAATAAAACAGAAGGCCAGTCACCTCGAATCTAAATGCTTCGTCTGCATCGACCAATAGACAGTTTACGCTAGCAAACATTATGGAATCATATGATTTATCTAAAAAGTCGTCATCTCACGTAAAATATTCATTGTTCGTTTCACTATCGTTCCACTCTCGGTTTAGTCCATGTCCATACATTCATACATCCATCTACGTAATCCTACTATTAAGAATTGAAACTTACAAATAAATAATAGCTTCCTTCTTCTTGACTCTAATCAATATCTACCCAGCTGCATTCTATTGCACAAACGAATAAACGATCGATGAATCAATCTGCAGGTAGTAGTAGTCACTTAGGTGTTTCGTTAGTTGCGTTTATTATTTACATAAGACATTAGATATTAAACAAATACGTGCATACGTATAATGTACCATTTCTCTACCCATTAATTATTCTCAAAATAACTACGAGGTAACATTCTATCCTGAATTGCTATTCGTAGTAAATCAGTAAATACATTCTGCCGCATCATTTTGAATGGTGAACTATCTCGTAATGAATAAATTCATGCCACATCTTTTTACGGACCGTGCATTTCACACTGAAAGTACTCGATAGATGTGCTGTTGAAAGAATTTTCGACTTCAAAAATACGATATAATATACTCACCAACCTAATATTACCCTTAATAATAATATATTTATTATACTTTGATAATTTATTATTGGTAATAATTTATCATCATTACTTTGATTTTTCAAGGAGTGGCTGTCAACCAACATACGATATGATATCACTTATTCGCTTTGGAAAAATCAAGAATCTCAGTGAGTATCACTTAAAATCAAATAAGAGCAAGTTTTTTTCCTTATGCTGACATTAGAGTTGATTCGATTATTCAATACGATATGAGACGAAATGCCTGCAAAATAATTACACCAATAAGCATCATGCAATTCGACCGATCAACAACACTTCGTCAATAATGCATTATGGAGTCGGCTATCAAAGCTAGTTGATGTCAATATTATAGCAATGCTGTTCTCAATAATGCATAATGAATAGTCAACTAGTAACGGCACTACAGCGTGAAATGACAGAAACTAAAAATGAAAGAAATATTAAACGATCGAATATAATCAAATGAACGATTTACCATTCGAATCATCAAAATAATCTACAATTTATCTCATCTAGCAATTCCACCTCATCAACCTCAAACAGCCAACTAAAAAAGAAGCATCCAACCACCGAATGAAATCGCTTCACCAAATGCCATCTGAATTCACCCAATCTACAGCGTTTTTAACAACAATCTTGCTCTCGGCTTGATTCAGTTCATTTTAAAGCTTGATGGTATTTTCCAATTAATATTTCTGCTAAACGAACAACAATTAGTTTTCATTAGAGTAATTGGCAGGGGCAACAGTACCATACAATAATTGATGTTTTCATATAATCACTCCTTCCTCGTTTTCACATTCCATAATCTTGAGCACTTTCAACGCTTGAATTATTTACACTCGTACGATACCGATTTGAACATCTCCACAATTCATTGAATCATTATTCTCATTGCAGCAATTTGGAAGAAAATGCAGCGAAGGCGAGAGACAGTCAACCAGAAGACGAATCTTTGATTCAAGTTCAAATTAATTAAGTTTTGCTTGTAATTTCTTCAAAATTCAAACAATCAATAAGACATACATATGACTTATATGCATGCGTTCGAGTACTTCACAAAACAACTTCCTAACAATAACAATATTATTACTATTATTATTATAATCAGTATCAGTATTATTATTATTGTTATTATTATTATGTTTATTGTTATAATTATAACTATTATTATTGTCAATATTATTATATTTGTTATTATTACTGTTATTATTATTATCATTGTTATTATTGTTAATATTATTATCATTGTTATTATCATTACTGCTATTATAATTATTATTAGTATCATTAGTATCGTTAAGAGAAGGATGGCGGTATGTGAATAACGATGGAATGAAATGAAGTAAAAAAAACGAACAACAGCCCTTCAGCAACAATAATACGGTAAGATAGATGGTGAAGTGATGAAATAAAATGAAATATAACCTAATGCAACCTCCTCTTTATCAGTTCATCTGCTACGACATGCATCTATCTTTATTCACGTCCAACATATTACATGCAAAGCAAATGAATATTTAGAAAGAAAAAAANAAAAAAAGAAATATTCTTATTATTATCATTATTATTATCGTTATTATTATAATTGTTATAATTATAACTATTATTATTGTTGTTATTATTATATTTGTTATTATTATTGTTATTATTATTGTTACTCATAATCCATCTGTATAATTGATGTATACAATGAATATAATTCAAACATACGATACAAGATGTGATAAAGACATGAGGTGATAAGGCATTATGGAATAATTTATAAAAACGACCTCAGCAAGCATTCACAATAATACAAACATTTCCGTAACGAGGTAGTCGATCAGAGCCTATCGGCATCATCTATTGGTGGTATTTTATAACCACGAGACAATAATATTAATAACAATAACATCGAAATTTCAATATTAATCGTACTTACATAATGTCTTCAGAAGGAATTATATCGACGGTTCCTGATAAGAGATATTACTAAGGAGAAGAATGACTTTCAGTTGACAATCGCCTTAAAGTGACGGTTGCAGCTATAGGCAGATAAGACAAGCAAAGTACAACAACGACGATGACGACAACATGAAACTCAACTGAAAACTGCTTGCTTTTGAAGAAAAAAATGCGATCGATCATAGGGAATACTCACTCACACTCATAATCAATCGGTGCGGTGCATCTGTATAATTGATTCAGACTGTATGATGCAAATGGAGAGCAGACGGTTGCGTTGAATTATTCATTCGTTATATTTCATTCATTCATCGCCTCCAACAGTCACTCCTCTTTTCTATCTCGTTCGTTCATAGTACTATATCTACTCAACAACTCAGCACTGTCACCTTTAACCACTACCTATATTCTATTTATACACGAATATAATATACACACACATGTATTTTTAGTAGAGGTGTGATGACATATACTTACTAACTGTAAGTAACTGACTGACTGATGCAGCAATGTGTCCCCATCCACCGCCCTGTTCAAATGAAACACTTTCGTGAGTAACAATGATCGTACCTCCTCTCCTCATCCTCTTCATTCACCTCATTCGTCTCCTCGTCCTTTCCTGCTCTTCTTTCGGAAAAGATATACCTATGATAGTGATGAGGAAGTTAAATGAACATCACTTCATGACAAAATCAACTGCAGTTAGAGAAGATGTCGTGTCATCGATCGTTGTCCCCGTGCTTCGCGATGAAAGCAATCAAGCAAATACCCGGTCGACCCATAATATTCGCCATCAACGTCAGCAACATTCAAATGGATATGTGCACTGATCCAATAGCTATAAATATGTATGCGCACCTGTTCGTTCATGAAACATTTCATAATAACACGTACAAGATTTGTCATCATTTTCAGGGTACCGATTTATGCAACGAAAACAGCTCAACTCTCACGCAGTAAACCGGCATCATCCACCAATATGAATTCACACCATCTATCTACTTGTTTTTTTTTTTTTTAATTCAATCGCCAACCCATAAACACAACAACGTTATGCTTATCACACACTTTCCTCGAACTTTTGCATTCAAAACGTAATGTAGTTAGGTAAGTTCATTATAATCATTGTTCACAAGCTTGCGAACTGAGCAACGACAATAATCACATTGTCGAACGAAGAACGCACAACTGACGATTGACCGTCTTAAAATTTTTATGGCTTCTTCGACAACTTCATTACTTATATAACAACATACGCATCAGTATACCATACGGAAACACTTGAATGGAATCAAATCAATCATCACAACACAACAACTCTTGAAATAAACTTAAATAATTTTAAATTCTCTTGAATGCAGTCAGTGTATAGCCAAGACCAATTGACTGCAACTGTATGCTGCTGCATTGAACAACGAACATTTGAAAAACAAAGTAGTCCAAGAACGAGAAACAAATAGGAAAAACAAAACAAAATTATTGTGAAATTTATGAAAATAAGAAAAGCAATTTACCTAATCTTAATAATGGTAATATTGATGTTGTGCATTCCAATATACAAACCGAAAACGTTTTTAAAGTTATGAACTTTTGGATACACGGGTGAGTGGAGATGCGTGCCAGATAGTGTAATATTATACATTGTGATCCGTTCATTCAGTCGTTCATATTTTGCATGCAACATCATTTTTTCATGGTTACAATAACGTTTCGTATATATATATATATATATATATATATATATATATACGAAACGTTATTGTAACCATGAAAAAATGATGTTGCATGCAAAATATGAACGACTG